AGTTTGTTTTCAAATTTTCCCAGCAGTATCCAAAATGTGTTGTATAACTGCTTTGAAAAACAGAAACAAGCTAAATGAAACTTTGTAGTTGTTGATAATTGCTGTGGAGTCTGGTGTGACTAAACTAAGCCTAACAAAAAGCAGTCTTGTTGAAGATGACACATTGCCTTTGATGTCTTCTAAATCTTTTCATCTAGAACAGCCCCTTCCTCATCCACACCTTTAATGTGTAGTTATGGCTGTTGTTGTTGTTGTTGTTATGTGCCGTCGAGTCAGACCCAACTCACAGCGACCCCTCCTTCGGTTTCCAAGGCAGAATCACTATGGAAGTAGATTGCCCAACCTTCCTTCCAAGGAGTGGCTGGTGGGTTTAAACCACATATTGAAAACTGATTATAGGTAGTCAGTCCTCTAGTCTCAACTGGTCCATTAAGTCTGGACTTCTTAAGAAGTGGAGTTCTTTTCTGCATTTTTCTTCCATTCTGTCTATGTCCATCTATTGTGGACCTGATCAGAATGGTCAGTAGTGGAGCCAGACATCATCTAGTTCTTCTGGTCTCCGAGCATATGAAACCGTGGCTTGTGTAGACTAATTTCTTCTCTGAGACTTTTGCTCTTTCTCTTTGGGTCCTAACAAGTACAGAGCAATAGCTATATCTTAGGTGGCTGTTGGAAAATCTTTAAGGCTCCAGACAGTTTTTGCCTCACTAACATGCAGAATACGAACTTTGTGATGCCATTTGACTGCATTTTCCCATTTCTAACATGGCTTTTGTATCGCCAGGAACAGTAATGATTTAGGTACACCAAAAACAAACCAAACTCACTGCCATTGAGTCAATTCTGACTCATAGCGAGATCCCCCTTTGGATTTCGGAGGTGATAAATCTTTATGGAAGTAGATTGCCCAGTCTTCCTTCCACAAAGTGGCTGGGGGTTTCGAACCACCAACCTTCTGGTTAGCAGTCAAATTCCTAAGTGCCTAAGGCAGCATTCCACAACTGAAACCAAAACCAAACCAAATTTAATACTGGCAAGTCGACTGATTCACAGCAACCCCTCCTTGACTTTCCGAGGCGCTATCATTATGGAAGTAGATTGCCCAGTCTTCCTTCTGAAACATGGCTCATGGGTTTGAACCACCAGCCTTCTGGTTAGCAGTCAGATGTCTTAGGCACTACACCACCAGAGCTCCTTTCCACAAATTGACTTGGCCCGAATTCTACCCCTTCTTCTTCCCCAACTGTTAGATCCCTATTCCTCTTTATCTCCCATTTTACTAGCTCTTGTCTAATTCTGTTCCTCTTTACCCACGTATCTACAACCTCTCCACAGCTTTTACCAGCCTGTTTGGGAGGGGACCAGAAAGGCTAGAACTAGAGTCCACTCAACATCTCACTGGGGCCCATCACAACAAGTGACTAAGGAAGGCAATTTCAAAACTGTTTTTTTTTTTTTTTAAAAATCTCTCTTTTTTTTTTCCCCAGTTAGTTATGATTTTTGTTTCTTTGGTTGTATTCTTGTAGACTTTATTTTGGCTTTTAAAATTTTATCTGTAGTTGCCTTTATATTTAACATTTAACAACTAGTACTTGGGAACCATTTCCTTATTTATTTTTCTACACTTAATATATGAGCTGGATCGGAACTACCTAGGGGTTTTCCCCATCTTCTTTCTGCTTGGTCCCTGCCCCAACCACCAAAGCATATCTTTAGAATATCTTAATTTGCCTCAGATACCCCTCATTGTTTTTCTCTGCATGGCCCCAGCAAGTTGTACTTGGTTTGCACATTTCATGGCCGTCTCTGTGTATTCTAACTGCCTCACTGTGTGATGTCTTGTGTGCTGTTTCTAACATATGGGTGGTTGAATTCACCCCAGCTCTTGACAGGCAAAGAACTGGCTAACATAGTACCTAGCTTTTCATCAGAAATATACAAACTTTATCCAGTTTACTGGTTGTTATGGATTACAGTGTGTCCCTAGAAAGTATGTGCTGTACCTGTGGATGTGATCCTGTTTGGAAGTAGGGTTCTCTATTGCTATGTTAATGCAAGCTCTGGTGGCATAGTGCCTAAGGCATTTGACTGCTAACCAGAAGGTTGGTGGTCATACCCACTGTGGAAGGAAGGCTAGGCAATCTACTTCTATAAAGATTAACTACCTCGGAAATCCAAAGGGGGGTCACTATGAGTCAGAATCCACTCAATGGCAGTGAGTAATTTAGATTTAGATAGGAAATATTTGCATTACTATCAGTTTTTATAAGTTAACTGGTATCTCTGCAGAGTTATAAGTACCCTAATCAAAGAGAAGGCTCAAGATAGCCCAGTGGGTGTGCTGGGCAGGACATCCAGTAACCTACTAATCTTTTTTGGGGGAAGATGATGATGTGCTATATTTTAAAGTTTTTCACAACTTTTCTCATTAGTAATATCATTGATGACCTTGAAGTGACAGAGGCAAAAGTCTGACTGGATCAGGTATACAAAAATGAGAAGAGAGAAATTGTAAATAATGAATAGCAATTATTCTTTCGAGGAGTTGCGCTGCAAAGGGGAGCAGAAACATGGGATGATAATTGGTAAGGGCAGTGAGATCTAGAGATTATTTTTAAGTGGGAAAAAGTAATAGCATGATTGTTTATGATCCTATATGAGAAGGAAAATTGATGATGCAGGATGAAGAATTGCTAGAGCAATGTCTGAGTCAGAGAGAGGACAGGATGTAGCTGTTAAAAATAATCAAAACGTGTTGAAATCTGAACATATGGTTTTTTTGTGAGCAATTATTCAATAGCCATATATTCACTGCTGTCAAGTTGATTCAACTCATAGCAACCCCTCCTTGGGTTTCCAGGCCAGTATTTCCATGGAAGTAGATTGCCCAGTTTTCCTTCTGAGAAGTGGCTGGTTGGTTTGAACCTCCAGCCTTCTGATACAGGGAGACCATTCTGATTCCAGAAAAAACAAATGGTTCAAAGAAGCTAAATATAATGGAGTTTATAAAGAGAAGGGGGAGGGTGTGGAAAAATATAGGAGATCAACCATTTGGCTAATCTTGACATGATTGATTTAATCCTGCTCTCCCCCTTTACTAAGATCAGTGAATTTCAGTTCACAAGATTGTCTCTGTCCTCCACTCAGCCATATCTTTTGAGATTCAAATTTAGTAAGGCTTGCTTCTAACGGGAGAGGATTTGCGACTCCACATGAACTGAAAAGCTGTTGGAGGATTAATTTTGGTCAGGGATTTCTTTAAAGTAAAAAACTCCAAAATCAAAGCAAGATACCTGCTATCAATTTTTCTCTCTGACAAAGGATTGTAGGGTTTGACCTTGTATAGGAGCAAGGACAGTTTATACATATCATTAAGAGACAAACAAGCTAATTTAAAAATTTGGGTAAAAGATTTGAGCAGGTACTTTAGAAGACATAGCAATGACCAACTAAGCACTTGGGAAGATACTAAACATCATTAATCAGGGAAGTACAAATTAAACTCATAATGAGATGTAGCTGCACATCATTGGAATAGTTAAAAATTTAAAAACTGACAATATCAAGTGTTAAGAGTATATAACAACTGATATTTTCATAGATTGCTGGTAGTTTGATTATTTCTTATGAAGTTAATTATACAGCAGCAGTTCTCTTAGATGTTTATCCAAGAGAAATGAAGCATAGATCCATACAAAGACTTGTTCTGGTATGGTCATAGCAGCTTTATTTATAACCACAAAAGACTGGAAATGATGCAGATGTCCATCAGTATGTGAACTGATAATCAAAATATGATATTTCCATTTAGTAGAATATTGAAAAAAAAAGATGATGTTGAGTTGATTCCAACTTACAGTGTCAAGAGTAGAACTGTGTTTCATAGAATTTTCAATGGCTGACTTTTCTGAAGCAGATCGCAGGCTTTCCTTCCAGGGTGCCTCTGGGTGGATTTAAACCCTATGCTTTCAGCTAGCTGTTGAAAGGTTATAGTGTTAACCGTTTACACCACCCAGGAACTCCAGAGTGGAATACTATTTTTATTTCTAGCTCCTGTTGAGTTGGCCCCCAACTCATGGTCATACTATGCACGGGAAAACTGAAAGCTGCCTGGTCCTGATCCATCTCCTCGATTGCTTGGGGATTGGACCGTTATGATCCATAGTGGTTTCTTTGGCTGATTTTTCAGAAGTAGATCGCCAGGCCTTTTTTCTTTGTCTGTCTTAGTTGGGAGCTGGGCTAAAACCTGTTCAGCATCATAGCAACTCTAAAGCCTTCACTGACTGTTGGCTGTGCATGAGGTACAATACTACTTAGCAATAAAAAGACCAAATTATTGACTATTGGATGAGACTAAGAATGATGCTGAGTAGAAGAATCTAGACAATAGCAAGTATATACTCTATGACTCGTTATATATAAAATAATAGAAAATGCAAACTGTAGTGACAGAAAACACTGGTTGGGAGTCTTAGAATGAGGAATTAACTAGAGAGGATCAAAAGGAAACGTGATGGTATTAGATAGATAGTTATGTATATTGATTCTGGTATAATCTGTCAAAACTCATTATATTGCATACTATAAATGGATGCAGATTAATGCATGTAAATTATGTCTATAAAGTTGATTTTAAGAAAAAACATTAAATCTTTTTAAAATAGAACTTAATTTTGTGATAACAAAGCCTTCCCTTTTGCCTGTTACATACCTTATAGTAAGAAAAGATGCTTTAGTTAAGCGTCAAATGTTTTAAGACCAGATATATATTGCCTGTCCACTTAGAGGATAATGCATACATGGAAAATCTAGAAGGCACTTTTGAAGGAGATGATTTGCCCTTTTCCACTCTTTCAGTCACACCTATTTTCAGAGTGTTCTAGTACTAGAACAGTGTGGCTCAAACATTTGCCAGAGTGAATGAGAGTAATTTGAGACAACTTTCGGTGACATTTACCATCCAGTAACTGTGTGAATGATACTTTTTTTCATTTTTACAGGTTATTGCAACAGTGTAATGATGACAGTTTGAATGTTGCACTTCCAATGAGAATGCTTGAGGTGTTTTCATCTGAGAATACTTACTTGCCTGTTTTACAAGATGCTAGCTATGTCGTATCATTAATTGAACAAATTTTGCTTTACATGATTCAAAATGGTAAGTATAGATGGTTTCAGAACGGTGAGTTGACATCATTATGATGTACGCACGGGCTGTAATGTTTTTTAGAGCTTGTACAATTGCTCTAAACTTGAAACTGTACCTTTTGTAACACAGCATTATGTGCTGTCAAGGGGAGCACTTGTTAGGAGGCAAAGACTTAACATTTTGTACTTGGCTCTAGCCATAGTGAAAATTTGGAAACTTATTTAATCTCTTTACTTAAATTTTCTTTTGCTTGGAATTAAGAAATTTTATATGCGTTTTCAGAAATTGTTCCAGGTACTTGAGTCAGATATTTGTACCTGCAGTGAAGCAGTAATCTTCCACACTGAACAGGAATGTATCCCATTACTTATGGCCATCCTGAATTAATATGAAAGACTTTTTCTGTTAAAAAAATGTCACAAATACATGAATTAAATCATTTGGATGGAGAGCCTATCTTATTAAGCAGTAAATCTTACTAATTTTTTTTAAATTAAAAGAATGATAAACTATCATATTAGTTTAGAAGGTGAGGATAGCATGTTTATTTGCATTTTCTTACTAACTTTGAAAATGATTGCATTATATCAGATATTATAGCCTATACCTAGAATTCCTTGGGGGTGCACATTGGTTATGGAGAAAGACTATGAATAAATGTAGTTTAAAAATCTTTTATGTGTAATTAAGCAACACTAAACTAAACTAAAAAAAAAAAAAAAAGTAATTCCCAGTATTCTCACAAGTAGAAAGCCAGATGTTTCAGGGTTCCTGAACTCCAGAAGTATTAGTATCTGAAAGCAATACTTACTGTTGAAAGTAGGAATAATTTGCCTTTGTTTTCTTAAAGTGATGAATGTTGGTTAAGCCTAGCTGGATTTAAAGTGTAAAAATAAGTAAAAATTTTCTTTATGTTAAGGGGCTGTTAAATCTGTATTTTGATAAACATGAATTTGATCAAATCTCTTTTGGATCAGATAGTTACTATTCAGTACTCCAAGACTTTGATTATTAACATTTGTATAATATTTTTAAATGATTTGCAGTACTTTTTCTTATATCTGGAGTTCCAGAGAGACAGCTTTCAGATGGAGGTATTTGTTTCTTTCCTTGCTAAGTGCTCTTGCTATTTGCACATCTCAACACCTATCAGGTGGTTAAAGTGCTATCTATGGGAGTGTTGGAGCATTATTATACATTTCAACCTTACTGTTTGCTTGGGTTTAAAAATAACAAGCAACATTAGTTTGTTGAAAACAGAAACTACTGAGTTAGTTAAAAGAAAATTAAAATTGATGAAATAGAATTTGATATCATAAAAACGAAATTAATGGTAATAAGAAATAGACCATGTTATTGATTGATATATAATTATGTATATTTATTTAAGGCTAAACATTAGATAGGAAGCTTTTATTTTTCCTATTTCCTAGAAGTATAAAGAAGATAATGAAGAAATCTGTATTATTTAAAAATGTGTCTGGAAATAGGAAAGGCTTGAAAATATTACATAGAAGTTACTACTTCTAGCATCTTCTGTGAAATAGCCATTTTTCAGTTATTTTGATAAATTACTTCCTAAAGTTGGCCTACAATTTTAGCATTCTATTTATAAATTATAGTTCCTATACTTATTATACATTATACATTAGGGCTTAACATGAACCTTTTTAACAATTGTTGTTGAGTTTCAGGTAATAACTATAGTCATATTCTGCTGCTCATCTGTCAGTTTATCATATTGTGGTGATTTGCATGTTACTATGATGCTGGAAGTTATGACACTGGTATTTCAAATACCAGCAGGGTCACCCATGGTGAAAAGTTTTTAGCAGAGCTTCTGGACTAAAACAGATTTGGAAGAAGGACCTGGTGATCTACTTATTAAAAAAAATGCCAGTGAATAGCAGCATAACACTGTCTGATACAGTGCTAGAAGGTGAGCCCCTCAGATCAGATGATGTTCAAAATATGACTAGGGAAGAGCTACTTCCCCAAAGTAGGGTCAACCTTAATGGCACTGATAGAAGGAAAGCTTTCAGGACCTTCATTTGCTGTTGTGGCATGACTCAAAATGAGAAGAAACAGCTATAAGCATGATTTAAAATCAGAACATGGAATGTAAGAAGTATGAATCTAACAAAATTAGAAGTGGTCAAAAATGAGATGGAATGCATAAAGATCAATATTCTGGTATTAGTGAAATGGACTGGCACTGGCCATCTTGAATTGGACAGGTCTACTCTGTTAGGAATGATAAATTGTAGAGGAATGGTGTTGTATTCATAGTCAAAAAGAACATTTGAAAGTCTATCCTGAAGTATAACACTGTCAGTGATAAGATAATAGCCATATGCTTATAAGGAAGACCAGTTAATAGGACTGTTATTTAAATTTACATACCAACCACCAATGCCAAAGATAAAGAAACTGAAGATTTTACCAACTTCTGAAGTCTAAAATTGATTAAGCATCCAATCAAGATACACTGATAATTACCGGTGATTAGAATGTGAAAGTTGGAAACAAAGAAGCAGCTTTGGTAGTTGGAAAACATGGCCTTGGTAATAGAAATGACGTCAGAGATCACATGATAGAATTTTGTAAGATCCATGACATGTTCATTGGAAAACCTTTTTTCAACAACATAAATGATGACTATACATGTGGACCTCACCACATGGAATAGACAGGAATCAAATCGACTGTATCTGTGAAAAGAGATGATGGAGAAGCTCAGTATCATCAGTCAGAACAAGGTCAGGGACCAACTGTGGAACAGACTATCAATTGCTTACATGCAAGTTCCAGGTGAAACTGAAGAAAATTAAAACAACTCTATGAAAGCAAAAATATCACCTTAAGTATATACCACCTGAAGTTAGAGTTCATCTGAAAGAATAGATTTGACACATTGAGCACTAATGACCAAAGATCAGATGACTTGTGAGATGACAAACACATCATATATGAAGAAAGCAAAAGGTCATTAAAAATATAAGAAAGAAAGAAAGAAAAGACCAAAATGGATGCTGGAAGAGACTCTGAAACTTGTTCTTGAATGGAGGGTCACTAAAGGAAATGAAAGAAATGATGAAGTAAAAGATTTGAAGATTGCAGGACCTTGGGCTATTAATGGTGATTCTGTCTTCTTGTGGGGTTGGAGGAGGTCAGAAGATGCAGCCTCCTTGCCCCCTTAGCAAGTGGCCAAAATGTACATGAAGAGATGCTCATCATCATTAGCCATTAGAGATATGCAACTCAAAACATTGAGATACCATTTCACCCTAGCAATAATAACAGTGTTCAAGAAAACAACAAATGTTGGAGAGATTATAGGTAGATTGTAACTCTCATATACTGTTTGTGGGACAGTGAAATGGTAAAGCCAGTATGGAAAACAGTGTGGCACTTCTTTAAAAAGTTAGAAATAGAAATACCTTATGATCCAGCAATCCTACTCCTAGATAATTTTCTAGAGATACAGGAGCAGTGACACAGACAGGTATATGCACACTCATGTTCATCAAAGCAAATGTTCATGAAAGTCAATTACAAAAAGACAAAATATTTTATGAGACCAAAGTCAAGGAGGAAAGAAAAAGAAGAATTGGTGAAGGTACAGCTATTTCAGGAGGTAGCATGTGATTAAGAATCGATGGTATTAAAGCAAGGAGTCCAGGCTGCACTGAAGGCATTGAGAAAAAGCAAGGCTCCAGTAATTGACACAATACCAATTGAGATGTTCAACAAATGCAGTGCTGAAAGCATTCATCTGTGCAAAGAAATTTAGAAGACAGCTGCTTGGCCAACCAACTGAAAGAGATCCATATTTGTACTCATTCTAAAGAAAGGTGATCCGAAAGAATGCAGAAATTATCGAATAATATCATTAATATTACATGCAAGTAAATTTTTGCTGAAGATAATTCAAAAACAGTTGTAGCAGTACTGGGAAATTTCTGAGAACTGCCAGGAATTTAACCCAGATTCAGAAGAGGACATGAAATGAGGGATATCATTGCTGATGTCAAATGGATCTTCGCTGAAAGTAGAGAATATCACAAAGATATATACCTGTATTTTGTTAACTATGCAGAGGCATTTGACTGTGGCTCATAATAAATTATGGATAACATTGGGAAGAATGGAAATTCCAGAACACTTAATTGTACTTATGAGGAACCTGCACATAAACCAAGAGGCAGTTGTTTGAATAGAACAAGGGAGTACTGCATGGTTTAAAATCAGGGTTGTATTCTTTCACCATACTTATTCAATCTGCATGCTGAGCAAATAATCCAGGAAGCTGGACTATATGAAGAAGCACTCAGCATTAGGATTGGAGGAAGACTCATTAATAACCTGCGATATGCAGATTACACAGCCTTGCTTGCTGAAATTGAAGAGGACTTGAAGCACTTACTGATGAAGATCAAAGATCATAGCCTTCACTATGGATTACACCTCACTATAAAATAAAAATCCTCACAACTAGACTAATAAGCAGCATCATGATAAATTGAGAAGAGATTGAAGTTATTAAGGATTTTGTTTTACTTGGATCCACAATCACACCAATCAAAGCAGCAGTCAAGAAATCAAATGATGTATTGCATTGGAAAAATCTGCAAAAGACTTAAAGTTTAAAAGGCAGAGATATTACCTAGAGGAGTGTGATACAGTGAATTACTTTGTATGGCTTTTCTAGTCATGGGTTTTGTGACTCCCAGCAGATTACTAGGTGGAACTATGAAAATATGATGATGAGCATCTCTTCATGTACTTGGTGGCCACCCGCTAATTATATGCAAATGTAAGGTGCTTATGGCCTACCAAGAGGACTAGAGAGCTTGTGAGTAATTGTAAATAAGGTACATGGTACTCTTGTGGGAATGGGACCATGGAAATAAGGTGTATGGAACTCTAATGTGGGGATTGGTCAGTTTTGCCATTCTGCTAGGCTTCACATGAGCCCTCCTAGAGGCAGAAAGGAAGATCTCATTGCCATCAAGAGAGAAGAACTAGAGGTGGAGTGGAGTGTGTCCTTGGACCCAAGATCCCTGTGCTGGACCTCATTCACAGAAAGACAGCAGACACAACCAGCAGAGACAGCTGGCTGAGGTAGATGGCTGAGATGACTGGCTAAGGAACCAAAAGTGGCAAGTCAGAGTGGTGGACTTGTTGGCCCATGGACCAAGAAAGCTGAGTGCCTTTTGGCAGGAGGCTTGCTGGTGGAGTGGGGTGCACCTGTATGCAACTATCAGCAGAGCTAAAAGAGCTTTGTAACACTTGCCCATGTAGGGCAGAGGCCAGACCAAGAGGGCAAGGCCCAAAGAGGTGTGCCTGAGGGCATAGCAGAAGGGTGACTGTCCTGATGGAAGAATTGCAGCCTGAGAGTGTTCCTAAACATGAATTTTAACCTGTTACTTCCCTAATAAAATGCACAATTGGCTCATAGTGTATATTGTGTTATTTGAGTGGGGCCATTTCTTCTTTCTTTCTGGATGTCACAATAGATTTTGGAAGTATATATGCCTCATTTCTTACCCCAGGCTACCAACTGCCTGTTCTTGATACAGTGTTGTAAGAAAGAAATATTGAGGCTAAGATTTTGGGCTTTGTATGCTGGAGGACTTTGTTGAATTCTTTTATGGAAGAGGCATTTGTCTTGTGGTACCCACTGTCCTCTCTCATGTCCTTTTTGCAAGGAGTAAGGTGCACCTGATGCAAGGCATGATATTTTCAATCACCTCATATGCATGTGGAAGCTGGGCAGTGAATAAGAAAGACCAAAGAAGAATTGATGCCTTTGAATTCTGGTGTTGGCAAAGAATATTGAAGACACCATAGACTGTCAGAAGAATGAACAAATCTGTCATGGAAGAAATTCAGCCAGAATGCTTCTTAGAAGTGAGGATGGCAAGACTCCATCTCTTGTACTTTGGACATGTCATCATGAAATACCAATCTTGAAAAGCAAGCTATGTTTAGTAGAGGGTCAGCAAAAAAAGAGGAAGACTCTCAAGGAGATTGATTGAAACAGTGACTGCAACAATAGGCTCAATCATAGCAACTATTGTCAGGATGGCACAGGATCAGGCATTGTTTTGTTTTGTTATACATGGGGTTGGTATGAGTTGGAATCCAGTGGAATTGATTCATCAACACTTAACAACAATGACAGCACAGGCATGTTGTAAATCTGTTCAACATATACCTTGTTAATGATGGATACTTTTAAAATTAATTTTCTAAATTTTTGATATATATGTACCTTTTCATTTGTGTAGCAAAAGAGCCTTAAAGCTTCCCTATAAGTTTCACTAGTAACTAGTGTCCTTAGAATTGGAGTAGTTACAAAGTAGATGGAATGATAAAGTGCTGAGTGTTTATTGTAATCATATCTAAATTGCAAAAGTTTATAGAAGTATTATCAAAAGCAATCCCAAACAAGTGTATTTTATATTTCCTATGTGCTTATCAAATATGAGTATAGAACAAAGAGATGTTCATAAGCTGCACCTACATGTTGCTATTATTTTATAATAAAGGGGTCAATATTTCTAAAGAAAAAAATGATTTCAGTAATTGGTGAAAACAGAATTTATGTTTGTTGCCAGCCGGAGATCTCATCAAAAGTCTAGAGCAGAAGATTTAGTAAAGCTTATAAAAAGTCGTAGCTTGTGCTTACATGTTGTTTGCCATCAAATCAATTCCAACCCATAAGGGCCCAATATGAAAAGAGTAGGCTGTCCCATTAGATTTCCCAGGCTGTAGGGACACTTCATGTTGCTAATCAGTGGTTTGAACACATTAGCTATTCCACAGAAAAGAGATGTGGCAGTCTGAAGAGATTTAAAGCCTTGGAAACCCTGTGGAGTTGTACAAGTCTATAGGGTTGCTGTGTATCAGAATCGCCTTAACAGCAGTGGATTTGGTTGGGTTTTAACCAGGTGCCCTGGTTGTGCAATGGCTGTGTGCCCCACTGCTGACATTTAGCTACTAACTGAAAGGTCAGCAGTTTGAATCCATCAGCTATTCTGTGGGAGAAAAGACCCTGGTGATCTATACGCATGAAGATTTTAGCCTAGGAAACCTCCTGGGGCTGTTTTTCTCTGTCCTGTAGGATCACTGTGAGTCAGAATCGATTCACCTACCAACAATCTTTGCAGAAGCAGATCACCAGGTCTTTTCTCCCATGTAGCTCCTGGTGGTTTTGAACGACCAACCTTTCGGTTAGCAGCTGAGCACTTAGCCATTGCATCACCAGGCTCCTTCTGCTTACTTAGAGGTAGGCTTTAAAAAATTAACTTCTCCAGTGCTTAAGATTGTGGTCCTTATCTATATACTAAAATGATTATATCTTGGATTTAATTGAGAGAACAGAGATACAAGGAGCTCTGGTGGTGCGGTGGTTAAAGCATTAGGCTGCTAACCAGTAGATCAGCAATTTGATCCCACTAGCTGCTCAGCAGGAGAAAGATGCAGTTTGCTTTTGTTAAGATTTATAGCCTTGGAAGTCCTATGGAGCAGTTCTTGACTGTCCTATAGTGTCACTATGAGTCAGAATCAATTCCGTGGTAGTGGATTTGGTTTGGGTTTGTTTATAAGATACATGTTGAAACAATTAGAAATGAGAGTTTGGATATGTTTCAAAATTAATTGGCATATAGATGAAATGGAATTGGACATAAATTGTTAGTTCATGATTCTGAATAAATACATGGAAATAAGTATGTGGAATTTATATACCATCCAGGCTGCTGTTTGTTTAAAATTTTCCTTAATTAAAAAGTTAAAATTTAGACTTATAGAGATTTGTAAAATGCATTTAAAAATTGACAAGTTTTTCCTCACTGTAAGGAAAGGTACCAAGTTTTAAATATGTGTTTTTCCTTTCTTTTAGGATATTATAGGTCTCTCTATTTGTTAATTAACAGCAAGCTTCCATCAAGTATTGAATATTCTGATTTATGTCGAGTTCCTATAGCAAAAATTTTGTTAGAGAATGTTCTAAAACCTTTGCACTTTACTTACAACTCCTGTCCAGAAGGCGCAAGGTAAAAATGAAATAGATTTATTGATTTCCCAAGATATGTATCTAATAGTAACCTGTACACAGTATGCTATTTCAAATACGAACTTTAAAGTCAGATTTTTACTTTAATATTGTGACTCATTTTAGAGAAAAACTTTTTCTCTCTGGCCCGCATGCACTCTAATATAATTTTATGGTTCTGATTACCTGGTTATTCTTGCTTTCTAGTAGCTGTAAAAAGAAACAAAAACATAAGAGAGTTTTCTTAATAGAGAAAACATAAAATAGAGTCCATTTTACATTATTATAGTTGATAAAGTTTAACTTTAGTTACTTTAGAGTAGTAGATTTTCTATTTAGAAGTTTATTTTGAAATTTAATTTTAACCAGTGATTTTATAAACCCTATGTTTTGATCTTGTAAAATGGTTCCATTTTTCTTTTTCAGGCAACAAGTCTTTACAGCCTTCACAGAGGAGTTTTTGGCAGCACCTTTTACAGATCAGATTTTTCATTTCATCATTCCAGCATTAGCAGATGTACAGACTGTTTTCCCTTATGAACCCTTTCTTCATGCACTATTGTTAATAGAGAGGAGATGTTCAAAAAAAAGTGATGGAGCACCGTGGCTTTTCTACTTTGTTTTATCTGTTGGTGAAAATTACTTGGGTATGAAATACAAGATGTATTATGGCTAAAACTCATATATATAGATAGTATCAGCACATAAGTAGAGAGAAGGGAATGTAAGGATGAATGTCATAATGGTTCCAATGGTGGGGATTTCTTTGAAGGATTATGGTCGGGACAGTATCCCTGGTGGAAATTTCCAGCCATAATAAAGTCTTTTTTAGATACATCTCTTATAAGACCATACAGATTGAAAAGAGACTTTTTTTTTAATTAAATGGAAGAGCTGTTCTATGAGTGTAAGGGTGTTTTTTCCATATATGCTAAATTTTTATATGTCTTATTTAAAAATAGTAAGTTCTGGGCAAAAATGTCTCTCTGAGTATGAGAAAAATGGTAACCTGAATTTTCCAGGTTCGTTTGTTTGTTTGTTTTTATAACTTTCAGTTAAAATATGATATGCTTAATTGTTTTACAAAGGGACCCTCTCTGAGGAAGGACTCCTAATATATTTGAGAGTACTCCAGACCTTCCTTTCTCAGTTACCAGTTTCATCAGCCAATACAAGCTGCCAAGATTCAGCCAGTGATTCTGAAGATGAGAATGAAGAAGCAGATAAGCAGATGAGCATCCCTGTAAGTTCCTGTGTGCCTCTGTGTCAGTGAATGATTACATTGTATACGGGTTGATTTTGAAGTCCTTTTGTCCTTTTTACAAAAAAAACTTTGTGTATATCCTTATGTTTAATGATAACAGTAATATAGTAAAGTATTCTCTTTTTATTCTTTAATTTTTATTGTGATTAGGGTGAAAGCTTACAAAGCAAATTCATTTTCCATATAGCAACTCACATACACTTTGTCTCGTGACATTGACTACAATTTACAACAATGCAACAGCTCCCCTCCCACTTTCTCCCCATAGTTACCTCTTCCCTGTGTCCTTCCCTCCCATGCACTCCTGTCCCTGAGCTGGGTTCCTATGCATACACAGACCTTCTATTCTCCCATGATTGATTTCTCCAAGGAGTGTATCTACCTAATGTAAATGTTCAGCTCCTATGCCTGTCTTTTGTTTGGCTGGAAGCCACAGGAGTGGGTTCAGTTCCAGACTTGAAGGGCCGCTAGGGGCCATAGTCTCAGTGTTTCAATCAGGCTCTATCAGACTACCAAAGTTGGTCCCTAGTAAAGTATTCTTATAAACATTCAAAACCATGCAAAGTCCCTTTTCACTTTTACCCCCCGATACTCCCACTCCAAAGGTAACGACTTCTAATTATTATATTAGAAGATAATATACCAAGATACCTTTTCTGTACATTACATATATATATATATATATATATATATATATATATATATGTTGTTGTTGTTGTTATGTGCCATCGAGTCGACCCCGACTCATAGCGACCCCTCCTTGGGTTTCCGAGGCAGTATCACTACAGAAGTAGGATTGCCCAACCTTCCTTCCGATATATACACGTATATATATATATATATATATATAGAATACAAAGTTTTTTAATATTCTGACTTAGTTTGCTTAAACAGATCTTTCAAATAAATCAAAATGAAGTTATAGAAGATAATATATTTTCACATAAGCATGCTGCCTTAGTACAATTTGATCTAAAAAAACATAAAATGAATTTTTTAAAAGATGTAAATACTGAAAATATTGTCACAACAGTAGGAAAGAACTGAGTATTCACAGTTCCTGTGTTACCATGTTGGGCAAAATTAGTACATTAAAGCAAAATTAGTGCTCATGGATCTCTAGAGGAGCTCCAGTTACTTTAATGTGTTGACTAGTGGGGATATTGGTATGTTCATTGTAATATTAGTGATTTTTAATAATGCCTACCCTGCATTTTTAGCTGGAAAAAATGCTATTTTTATGTATTTATGATGTAGAAGCAATAATAGAATGTCATTACTGTAAACTAATTTTTCTGGTGTGGTTTTAGGAGGATGGTCGACTGTCAATACCATATATAACAGAGGAATGTCTGAAAAAGTTGGATACGAAACAGCAGACAAACACTCTATTAAATATGGTATGGAGGGATTCAGCTAGTGAAGAAGTCTTTACAATGATGGCATCCATCTGCCATATGCTAATGGTACAGCATCGAATGATGGTGCCTAAAGTCAGGCAAGTATATCTTGATATTAAATTAATGGTAAAGTGTTAAAGAAAATATGCTTTCCTGTCCTATAATTTGCTTTGGTTCTTAATCTGTATGTATCAGTGTCATCTGCTATTATCTGATAGATGATAATATAGAACTATTCCAATAACCAAGCATTTCATAGAAAACCTATGGTGGTTTTTTTTTTTTTTCCTTTTCTTTTCTAAACCAACTAATACTGACTCAGTCCTTTCCCTGGCTCATGAGGCTCTGAAGGGCCCTGTTATGTTAACAAAGCAATTAAGCTCATACTTCTATAGTATCTTGGGAATGAGAGGAGAAACTAGCCCTAGCTACCCATTTATGAAACTTGGACTCATGTCTGCCTTATAGAACATATATATACGCCGACTCCACGGCATATAACAACAATATATATATATTTTTTTTTTCTTCCTTCCCCTTACGCCTTTTTTACTTTTGCACTCTGATTTTTTTTTTTTTTTTAAAAAAAACCTTGAAATAAACTTTCTAGGTGGAACAAAACAAAACAACTTAAAATGTGGCTAATTTGTGTTCAGATCATAGTGACAATGATTTTGAACTATTTTCTCATCCTCTAGTTTGAGTAATAGTTTAGAACTTTCTTGAGAATTTAGTAGAAAATATTTAATAGAGTCAATTCCGAAATATTTAGTAACTCTTCAATTAACTGATGTCATACAGAGAAACTGAAAAAAAAATGTCAATAATTTGATCCTATGGTTATTTTGGATGATTTCTGTCACCTATAAAGAATTCTCTTCTGTTTTTGTAAAGTGTCATCCCATAACATGAAAAGAGCTTTTTCCTTTGGTTAGGAAAGAATTCTTTGAAATAAAATGTATGTTAAGAAAGTATAATCAATTGAAACTGCCTTGTAAACAATAATGAACAGACTGATTAGTTGCTATCTTAGCTCACTGGTGTTTATTACTATTGGAGGAAGTAAGATGTCAGTGAAACCAATCCCTTGATTGGGTAATTAGTTCCTTGTAGACTAATTGCATTAGAGCAGGATGTGAGATCTGAGGCTCATAGCCCCAGAACTAGGACACTTGCTTTTATTGTTGCAAAAATTCCAGTGCTTTGGATAGTAATTACTGGATTTAAATGCATCACTGCTCCTGTCTGAGGTTTACTAGTGAAGTGCTTCCAAAAGGTATTTAATGAGTAAAGAAGCTGTATAAGTAGACTTAATTTTATGAATACAGCACCTATTTCCTCTAAGAAAATCCTCTAGGAATTTTATTTGTGGTTTAAATATATTAGGTTTTAAGTATTTAGAGTGTTTTTCATAGCTCATGAGTAGGCTTACTTTATTACTGTTTTTTATTGTGATTTGGGTGCAAATTTACAAAGTAGATTCATTTTACTCTCAACAGTTCGTGCACATTTGATTCAATGGCCCCAGTTATAATCCCCAACCCTAAAAAACCTTTCTCCCCTCTCCTCCCGGTGAGTACCCCTCCCCTGTGCCCTTCCTATGTATGCATTCCTGTCTGTCTACTTTTCTCTCTATGTGAATGCTGCCCCTCTGATGTCTCATAGCTCATCTCCCTAGGGTAGGTGGGTGTATCACCCTAGGTTAGGTGTTCTGCTTGTAGGTCTTTCTACCATTGGCTTCTACAGAAGTGATTCCATTTCTAGGCCCAAAGGATAACCAGCACCATAGTTTCGGAGGTTCCACCAGCCTCTATCCAACCAGTAATTCTGGTCATTTTTGACTGAATAGACTTATTTTAGCCATTTAGATTTTAACTACTTTCAATTTTAATTTTTAAAAACTATTTACAAGATCATTAGCAAATACCCAAGCAGACACCTCACTCTCAACTCCTCTTGACTAATGTTAGTACCTCTTTATTTTCAGGGTTGGGATTTGTAGTTTTGATTTTTATTTGAAATTAATTGCTGGGATAGATAAAGAAATAAAGTTTTTTTTATACTGAAATGGAAAGATTTCCAAGATATATATTTAAATGAAAAAAGGAAAATGCAGAACAATATGTATAATATGCCCCCTTTTCTGTAAGAAAGGTGACAAAAATAAAAATATATACTTGTATTTGCATAAAGAAATTTGAAACTGTATGCAAGAAGTTAATAAAAGTGATTACCCAAGTACACTGGGGGAATAGGAATGGAAGAGAAAGAGCTTTTGACTATACATATGTTTTTTATTTTTATTTTAAGAGCTTGTTTTACATTCAACGTTACATGTACATTTAGTTTCACTCCCCATTTACCATGTCCAACCCTAACTCAGTCTCCTCCCCTCCCTACCCTATAACCCTCCCCTGTGCCCCTCATATTTATGCACTCCTGTTTGTCCTGCATTTCCTCAATTTGAATGTTGGTCCTCTGGTGCCCTATGCTCTGTTGCTCTAAGGGATGTGTTACCATAAAGTATGTGGGTGCATCATCCTGGATTGAGTGGTCTGCATGTACATCTTGTTAACTGTTGAGCTGAGAGCCAGCCCCTGGGGTGAGTTTTATTCCAGGTGCAGAATATATTCCAGGGCCATAGTATTGGGGTTCTCATCAGACTTCATCTGACCAGTGATTCTGGTCATTATTGAGTTTTGGATTTTGTTCCACGTTATTCCTCCCACTCTATCCAGGATCTCCAGATTTGATCCTTTCCTGAGTGGTTGGCGGTGGTAGCTGGGCACCATCTAGTACTTCTGGTCTTGAGGGCTATCGTGTCCTATGTCTTATTGCTTCCAAATGCCCTTTTTTTTTTTTGCATTCTTCTTTGCTTCTGACACTAGGAGACCGTTAGCTCCATCTTAGATGGCCACTTGAAAGCTTTTAAGACTCCAGTCTCTACTCACCAATGCAGAATGTGGAACAAGAGTTTTATGTATTTTGTTTCGCCAGTTGAGTCTGGTGTCCCCCAGCACTATGGTGCTGAGACAGTAGATCTATTGGATCTCTCTGCCATAGTGTCTGGGTGTCTGAGGGATTACTTTGTGTCTGTCTTTTATTATTTCTGTAATGATTGCAGGTATTTTGTATCACTGGTGTCTGTGCAAGATTAGCCTCAGCTGAATTTATCCTTGGTCTAGAGTATAATCCTGTTCACTGACCCCCATCTGATCCTCTCAGGTGTTTGTGTGTTTATCTGTAGCCTGGTGTTTGGTGTTAATGTTGTTGTTGTTGTTATGTGCCGTCGAGTCAGCTCCAACTCATAGCAACCCCTCCTTGGGTTTCCGAGGCGATATCACTACAGAGGTAGATTGCCCAACCTTCCTTCCAAGGAATGGCTGGTGGGTTTGAACCACCAGCCTTCTGGTTAGCAGTCAAGTGCCTTAGGCACTATACTACCAGAGTATAGTAATACAGTATTGTGGACACATTAGTTGCTATTAGCATCTGTCATCTATCTCTTATGTGCACAGTTCGGTGTCCTCCTGTTTCCTAATGTTATCATGGTGGTCACAGATCTTTCTGTATATCCCTACCCTTACCCATGACAGTGTGTAGGCCACAACTAGCCTGGAGTTAATTCCTCCCCTTCCCTCCTCATCCCGGTAACCTACAATTGACTATGCATTTTTAAAATACTGTTTTGAATGTTGAATCAGATGACTGTATTTTACTTTAAAATTTTAAAATAATGTAATAAATGAATTACAAATTCTTTTTAGAGATGAAATTTGTAAATCTTACCATTGAGCATAGAAGTCTGGATAAATATTTGGATTTAGAGTATTTTTCCTTAAGAAAGCATATTCATAGTTTTAAAAATATGTGTAAATATTAGTTGTATTGTAAGAGAAGGAAAAAAAATCAATCCCAGTATCTTTAGAGAATTGAAATTAGAAAGCAGGATATTAAAGTAGGTAGCTTAAAAGCAGCTGTAACCCTATCAGAATTAAAAGTCTTAATGGATAGTATTTTTCTGGTTTGTTAATGAATTTGTGATCATAATGTTTGAAACTGTGAAGCACTAAAATGAGAAATGTTAACACCTGTTCACCATCTTCATTTCTCTTCTGACTTGTTCTACAAGGCTGCCTCTTCCACTGCTGTATTGAAATCACCCTTGAAAGTTCCCCAGTGATTTCTTCCCTAGTGCTCAGCCCAGAATCTTTCCTATCTTACTTAACCTGTGTGTGATATCTGATGGATCTCATTATTCCTTTTCTTTAACTTCTTTCATCTGTTAGCTCCACATATATCATATTCTTGTAAATTTTCTTTTACCTTTTTGACTTCTCAGTTTCTTTCATTGGTTCTTTTTCTCTTTATCCTCTGTTTCACTGTTTCCTAAACTTTCTTGGAGTTTTTTGTTTTTCTTTCAATTTTTCAGTTCTTTTCTATTCATTTGATTCTCTGGATGACCTCTTTGATTCAGGTGATTTTAACTATATTCTAAGGACTCATAAATGTGTACCTTTAGCCTAAATAACTTTTTGGAGCTTCAGACTCTTATTCATCTACTAAATAGGATATGTCCCCTTGGACCTCTCTTTACATGCTGTCTTTTCCCCCAAACGTACTCTTCCTGTCCCTATCTTGTCTTTATACCAAGCCTGGGAATCATGCTAGAGCAGTTAAATGTGGCTACTAAAGCTTAGAGTAAATAAAAGTAAAAACTCAGTTACTCAGTTGCACTAGCCACATTTTAAATGTTCAGTAAGCACATGTGGCTGATGGCTAATGGGCAGTTTTAGAACGTTTTCCATATCACAAAAAGTACTTTCTATTAGACAATGCTGCTTCAGAGGATAGGCTTCGATTCATACCTTTCTCAGTAATTCCCTACACACAGTTAATTACTGTGATATGTCACTACTGCATTCTCTTTGTCATGTTTTGCCAGGCTGAATTGTCAAACATTGACCTTGGTTATTTCATTGTCTTACCTAAACATCTATCAGTGGATTCCCTTTGATTTCAAGAAAAAGTTAAAAATCTTTAGTATGTCAGTTTTCATCATTGAGCATTTGGTTACCCCTCTAACTTTAGCTAACTT